TCATGTTCGCAACAAACATCATTAGATGTAGTTGGATTTTTTGATTTAAGGCGTCAAAATATTATTGATAATGATGAATTTATTGAAAATTTTATTAAATCCAATAAGCACATTATCTTTATATGAGGATTTTCCAAATTTAAAAATACTCTTTATTAAATATAATGTTGTTATTACATCAAGTGCTCCTGTAGAGCGTTCAGTCGAGGGAAGCTCATCTTTGGAAAGAAACGAGGGCGTCTCCTAGATAAAAATTTTGAAATCCAATTGTTAAAAGCAAATAAACATTTATTAAAGTCAAATTTTTATGAAAAATAAATGTTTTTTTTTCAATGCAAATATATAGGATATTTTTATTCGATGTAAATATAAATATTCTATTTTCCGATATTTTTTTCGGTTTACTTATTTTTTTATATAAATAAATTGTATATTTTTTTTAAACAAATGATTATATCATAATTTTTTAATATTAAATAAATTCATTCAGTAAATAAATGTATTATATGAATGATGTATAAAGTAACTTATAATGTAACTAGTTACTTTTTTAAAATAACTGTAACTAATAACTAGTTATATTTTAGCTAACGTAACTAGTTATTTTCTAAGGTAACTTTAACAAAACTAGATGTTAGTAATGACGTTACTTTTTAACGTTATTTTACAGCACTAATTTTGACAAATGATTTAAAGTTAACTGTAATCAGAGGATATTTTTATTTTAAAAATAGTAATTTAAATTCGATATTTATTATGCAATAATCGGATGATGTTAATTTTATATAAATAAACAATTTTTTATAATTTTAAATGACTTGTTAATTTTTACTTTTAAAATATTTTATATTAGTTTAATTTATTAATAAAGTAGATTATCTCTGACTAACGTCGTTATCTTTTTTGAAGAAAAGGAACGCCATCAAAAAATTGCAGCCAACTAAAAATGTGATGTCTAGGCCTACTCTCTTATTAAAATTTATAAAACATTTGACACCACGGCAAAGAAATTAGTGGGTCTATTGTGTTTCCCAAAAAACTATGGATTCTTGATCAGCTTATTGTAGTTATATAAAATATATATTTCATAGATTGAGATGACGGTATAATGACTAAATCCAGACATTACAGCCTACTTAGCTTTTAAAAGGCTAATCTAAAAACACACATTTGATTATCTAGCAAAAAATCTTTGAAATTTTTACCACATATAAGATACAAAATAAAGTGACCAAATGCATTACCGACAATACTAGAAATTATATAAAAGCTTTCAAGTAATAAAATTATAATATATTTATTATAAATATTAAAGTATATGAACAAGGAGAGGTATCTGATGATGAAAGAGTTCTTCTGCCATTATTTAATCTATTTGAAAATCAAAATACTAATGATAGTATTGTGTACATACCTATCATTCCTGTTCAGCACACACTTTAAATCTCATTGCAAGTGTTGACATTGAAAAGAGAGGTAAGGATGTCCACTTTTAAACCATTTCAAAAAATTACATTTTCTAAGTGTAAGCTATTGTGGAATATATATGGGCAATCTTCAAACTGTGCAGCCATTTTTAAGGAAAACATGGGACGATATCTGATTAAACCGGTTATAACAAGATGGAACTCTTTTTATCACTCCGTGAAATTAATAGATAGTCTTATTAAAGAGTGCCAAAAATATGAAGAATCTTGTAATAAATCTTAATTACAGAGATTTTCAGATAACGATAAGTCTTTCATGGATGAATATTGTGTGGTTAGTGTTAATTAAGAAATATGATATGTATATATATGATTTTATAGGTTATGGAACCGATTGCTACGGCTTCAATTTTGAGAGCGAAGAAAAAATGTATTTGGGATAACTCACTCCCACGATAACTATTATAATATTAAAACTTTAAAAAAATGGCTTTAAATAATTCAAGTTTTGTAAGCCACTTATTAATTCAATCCTTGAAAGCATAGATAAAAGGTATACAGTTCAAATATTGTTTACAATTTATATTTTGATTATCTTTTATTTTCAATAGATTCAAACACATCTATAAAGTTGAATATATACTATCAGCAATAATTCACCAGCATTTAAATTGGATAAGCCCTGGATAAAATTAGAGGTCAACAAAGGAAGAATGCTAGAACTTTTTCCAGTTTGAGAAAAGTGATAAAGAAAGAGCAGACGTAATTTCTTTATACAACAAACATACCATATTTTCTGATAAAGATAAATTTTTTTGATTAGAAAATAAATGAAGATCCTTGTGAAGATGATCTATTATAGCTTTTTTTTAAAATTAAGTAAATTCTTTAAATATTTTTAATAAATTCCCCGAATTAAAATTTTTATTTATTTAATAATACAATTCTCCCATCCTCTGCGCCAATTGAAGGTGTGTTGAGCACTAAGCGCTCTTGTGTCTGATCAAAATTTTAAAAATCTAATTTGATAAAAAAAAAAATTGATCATATTTTAAAAAATCTTATCTTATTATATATTCTTTTTGTATAGTTTTATTTATATTATATATAGTAGTAAAAAAATAAATATTTTTTAGTATGTAATATTTATTTTTTTAAATAACGAGTAACCCGTTACTCTTTTGAATAGTTTTTCTAAAAAGGTAACGAGTAACGGTATCGCGTTTCTTTTTTCAGACGTAACGAGTAACGGTAACGCGTTTCTTTTTTGTAGTAACACTTACAGCACTATTTTTAATTGATTTGTATTAATAATTATAATAACTATTTTAATTTCTAAAAAGGTACCATCATCAAATTCGTAGAAAATTGATTTGTATTAATAATTATAACTCTTTTAATTTCTAAAAAGGTACCATCATCAAATTCGTGGAACAATGGAATATTTTGATAAATTATAATTATATTTTTTATGTATCAATTATTTTATATAAATTATAGTATTACCATATTTTTTCGAAATAAATGGTTATAAAATAGATTATATTTAAGAAATTCGAATATATTTTCAAATATTAAAAAGACTTTTTACAAAAAATGATAAATTTAATCAAAAATCTTACTTTAGCATTCTCAAAGAAGATCAAAAAAACAAGATAATTTCTTTATATCATAAACGATTAATCTTGTTAATTAATTGCTTATCCATATTTAATTTCAATAAAATCTTATTGTGTTTACCCCCTTTTATTGTAAATAAGTATATTATATTAACAATCATTTCACTGTAATTTTATAAAAAAACAACGATCTTTTTCAAATATAAAAGAATGGAAACATAGATAAAATTTTATAAAAAAAACAAACGATTTTAATTACAATGTAAAAAATATATTTATTTTATGCGAATATTAGTGTTGCGTAATCGGCTAAATATTTCGCTTAAGCCTAATTAAATCTAGCTGATTTTTAGGCTAAACTTAATTAGGCTTAGCCGATTTTTTCACCTAAAATATTGGCTAAACTTAATTAGGCTTAGCCGATTTTTTCACCTAAAATCTTGGCTAAACTTAATTAGGCTTAGCCGATTTTTTCAGCTAAAATCTTGGCTAAGCCGTTTTGTAGTCGACTAAAATTAGCCAATTACGCAACACTAGCGAATATATACAGTGTTGTGATGATTTAATGTAACTTATTGACGTTTAAATTAAAACGAGGGATCCAAACCGAACCTGAACCATTAAACCGATAAAAACTTATATTTTTTATCGAACCTAAACCGGTAAAAAATTTCTAGCCGAACCTGAACCGAAGCTAAAATGCCTCTGAAACGGTTTGAGTCTCATAATTTTTATAAACTTTAATATATTGCCATTTTACAATATTTTAAGCTTATAAATTATAATACCTAGAGAAAAATTAAATCCAATATTTAAATTATTTGCATATCGTATTATAAATGACAAATCAAATCTGATATTATACAGGCAGTGCCGGCTAACCAAGTTAGTGTGGAAAGATGTTTTTCAACAATTAAATTTATATTATCTCCTTAATGTAAATTGAGTAAGACGATTTGGAAATATAATAATTGTGCCGCATAATAAAAAAAATTTAAGTAATTGTTCATATTAAAATTAATCATTGATATTTATTTGCTATATTTATAAATTTAATATTATTTAATAATGTGAAATTAATAAAAGTGAAGGTTTTATGTATGTGTTTTTCATTTCAATTATGAAATAAAAAAAATTCTTCCCTATACATAATTCGAATGTAGGGTTGAATACAAGCGTTCGAACCGTTTTAGATGTTCGACGAACCGATATTTTTATTTTTGCGAACTGAACCTGAACCTTAAACGGTTATTTTTATCCGAACCTACCGATATTCGTTCTGGTTTGGATCCCTGATTAAAACTCATCCATATAAAAATATTTTGCTTGCAAAAATAATCAAAGCATTATTGAAAATTATTAATATTATAAAATACTAGAATATTTATTATTTTGACTTTTTTTAACTTATAAAAAGAGTGTATTCATAATAATCAAAACAGTATGTCTTTTAGAGATCTGCAAAGTTAGACCCGGCCCGTACCCCCTAATTCTATTTAAAGTATCGGGTGCGGGCCGGGCCTAATATCTAAAAAAAATCGGGCCGGGTCGGGTCGGACCTTGGAAATATTTTTAAATATATCTAAATTTATCAATTTTATATTGAATATTTTATGTAAAATAAAAATATTTGATTTTATTTATTGAAACTAAACGACAAATAACATGTCTTTTATTTTGAGTAATTATAAAGATTAATTTCTATATTTAAATAAATTCGGGTCGGGATGGGTCGGTAAATTTTTTTAAAAAAATTTCGGGTGCGGGCCGGGCCGGCTAAACTTTTCTATAAAAATTTCGGGCCGGGCCGGGCTTGAAAAATTAGGCACGATGTATTCGATCTTAAGTTGAAATTGATATTTAAAAAGATTTTTTTCCGTTAGTTTTTTCTGGGAGGGGGGGGGGTTCCGGGATTCCATTAAAATATATGTAATTTAAACAAAATGATTTAAACCTGGGTTATTAAAATTAATATTTCTTTTTCCAGCTTTGATCCTTTCTTCTAAACTTTTTGCGACTAAATTAATCAGAGCTTCAGGATAATGCGATATTTTTAATGAGTTTTTTTCGATGAAGTTAAAAGTTTCATATAGGTCGGTTTGACTCTTAGAAATCTTTATCTTATAAAACTTCATAAATCTCTCTGAATATTGACTCAATGATTTCGTAGTTTCTTTGGAAATTTGGCCGTATTTTCTAGCACTGTGTAATTCTTGACCGAAAATAGTATTGACATCGTGATTCCAATATGAAAAACATAACTCACAATTTGGTTTATACTTCAAGATTTTTAAGTTTATTCCGTCAAATTTTTGGAAGAATAATTTTGTAAGCTATTTTTAAAAAAAATGTAATATTATAAAATTGGTACTAGATACCTATTAAATCGGGTGTATAGTAAAATCCCGATTTCACGTTTCTCGGGAGAATAATAAACAAGGTGAAATATAATTAATTTTTTTATAAAACACAAAACGATAAAAGCAGGAAAACGTTAAATCGGGGTTCTCCTATATCTAAAAAAAAATTAAATACTATAATTTCACTTGTGAATATATAGATTCTAGTATTAATCCTTGGCAAAAGGAATGTAAAAAATCATATAATTGCCATAAAGGTGATAATTTTTCCTTGGTCGATTTTGTAATTAACTTTATTTGCAAATAATTTTGTAAAAATTTAATTTGAGCATCATTTATAATAGCGTCGTTTGTAATTATGTCTGCAGATTTAATAGATTGTTTATCTTTGATATGAAAATCGCTTCCCTTGTTTTGCATTATTAAAATATCTAACCGAAGCAGGCGCCAATTGGCGCATAAGTCTTGAATAATTATGTAATTAGTATTTATAAGATTTTCATAAACTAATGGGTCTTCCGAATTTAGATTAAGAGTCAGTATAATATTGAATTCGTGTTCTACATATAAACATACTTTTCCGCTAGCTATAGCAAATTTTATTTTAAAATTTGGAATAAATTAGATAATCATATAGATTTAATATTTGACTTTATATTTACCTTGTAATTAATTTAATAATAAAATATGCATAATGATTATATCCATAGACTTATATTAACAGACTGCTCAACGCTCAATTGGATTAGATAATATAATTAAAACATCATTCATTCGGGCGCCATCTTGAAAATAGAAGGTTTCCATTTTAAATAAATATATTTTATACAATTATTACCACATATACTTAGATATTATATGAGAACAATCCTTTGTCGTAAATATTGTAAATTATTTAAAATAATTTGATATTCTCCTAATTTATCTTTATATACTTTTTTTGTTAGATCAATATTTTCATTGAATTTTATAGTATCAAAGGTAGAAGATTAGTCTCCTAACACGTACATTTTTGGAGATATTAGGGTTTAAAGTGGCAAAAATGACGCATTTTTAACATTATGTACCTTCATCCAACTAAACATATAAAAACTACATAAGTGTAGATAACAAATTCAATATCAAAATTATGTACAAAGATTGTACTTTTAGATAAAAATTTTTTTTTTTAACAATTTAGGGCCATTTTATTTAATATTTAATTAAAACAATTTTTTGAAAATAATAAATTTAAGAGACATTAATATACTCTTCTATATTTATAAAAAAAATTCGACCTGGGACGCGGCCAGTTTCGTTCTCAAAATCGATAAAAAATATTTTATCGAAAAGTACAATCTTTGTACGTAATTTTGATATTAAATTTGTTATTTAAACTTATGTAGTTTTTAAGATATATTTAAGTGAATGAAGACGGATATTGGTAAAAATACGTCATTTTTGCCACTTTGAACCCTAATATCTTCAAAAATATAAATGATAGGAGGCTACACTTTAGGATATTATTTTAGTTATATTATCCTTTAATTGCTTACCAAATTTTAAAAAAAATCGAAGACGGTCGGCCGAATGGTGGTTGATTTATCTTGAAATGACCCATTACCATAGCCCTAATATAATAAATATATACATCATATAATCAATAAACTAATTCTATCTTTACCAAATGTAAAATGTGTCCAAAAATTATAATATTTCAAAATCTTCAAGTTATAATTAAAGATATACTTCACTGTCATATTTATTATTTTAAGTATCCTGTTAATAATTTATTTTAGAGCGTAGTATTTTATATGCTTATTAAATTATTTATGTGATTATTATAAGAGATACATAAAGTAAAAATCATTAATTATTAATAGATATAAGATAGTTAATATAATTTATTTTTTTTGGTGTGATTATTTGAAATTTCGCTATTATTTTTAAGGATCTCTTTCTAATCATGCCTAACCTTCATATCCAGTGCCTATTAACAAAAAATATGGTAATTCCCATTTGATAAAACCTGCCCCTTCCTATGATGGTGCAATTATCGAGTGGAAATCACGAATTATCGCTAATCACCCACTTCCAGAAACGAATATGCAGAAGGATTGGGATGGGTCTATTATTGCAAGCTGCGTTGAAACTCCTTTTCAGAATGCAATTATCTAACCGTCCATTATTCTCCTCGATGCTGGACAGGATAAGACTCAAATTTTAAATGAAATGAATATATTTTAAAAATTTTGCGACAAATAAGTAGCTAATATTTTTTTATTTGTTTGTAGAATGATCATAAACTTAATTTTGTTCAGTGTATAATGTAAAACTTTATTGTAAAAAATAATTTCTATATAATAAATTGTGGCCGGGGACAAATAATTTGTATTTTGAGTCTGGCTTTTCGGGAGAAATAAAAAAAAATTGGCTTGGGATCTGCCGGATATATTTTTTTATAAACCGTTCGGGCCAAGTTAGAAAAATTATACCATATGCAGACCACTAGTAAACATTGTGTCATATTTAACAGATAATTTTAGCTATTTTCTTTTTGCAATTAAAAAATTGTAAAAATATTTTTAACTTTATTTAGCTAATTATTTATATTACATAAAACCAATGGGAAATTAATATTATAATAAACATGTTAATTAAATAATATCATATATTAAATAATCAAATGAATTAGAATAAAGTTTGAATTTCATTTTTCCTACCACTGAGATAAATGCGATACTTTTGTAGTGTTGTTAATTAGTTGATTTCTTCCGACTAAGACTAATAGTCATAGTCGAGGAAATCGACTAAAAACTTTAGCGACTAGATTAGTCGACTAAAAACGAATAATTAGTAGACTAAAACGACTAATTTAGTCGACTAATCAGAGAAGATAAACAAAAAGAAGTAAAGTGAGAATTTGTCACTAAAATAACTATATGAGTCATATATAAGTTATTTTTAAATTGTAAACAAAATTTTAGTGAAAAGTGAATAGTCATAATTGTTATTTTTGAACTTTTTTAAAATTATTTTAAAGCAAGGTATAAATATATATAGTAAACATGTTAAATCAAAATTTCAGTGAAGATGTACCATAGGAAAGTGACAATTGTCATAATTCGGATGCATGGGTAAATTGTAAACGTATTTTAAGTTTTTGAAATTTTTTGAAGCAAATTGGTAAAAATATATATTGTAAACATGTTAAATTAAAATTTCAGTGAAGATGTACCATAGATAAGTGACAATTGTCATAATTGTTATTATTGAACTTTTTTTAAAACAAATAGGTAAAAATATATATAGTATATATATTAAATAAAATTTTCATACAATTGAAAAGTGACAATTGTAATAATCATTATTTTTTTTAACTTTTTTGAAGTAACAGAGTAAAATAAATTGTAAACATGTTAATTTAAAATTTAAATGAGGATGTGCCATATGACAATTAATATAATCGTTAATTTTAAGATCTTTAGAATAATTGCTGAAACGAGCTGGGTTTTAGCCTACGCCCTTCCATCAAATTTTAAAAGTGCTAACGGACCGATTTAAAAATTTAAACTCTTATTAGTTATTTAAAATTTATTAGGTAAACATTAAAAAAATATATGCTTCATTTTTAACATTTTTTATACTAAAGTACCGATTACTGTTTTGGATATTATTGTTGAGAGAAGGTAATTAGATTAAAAATACTTTATGGATTTTTTTGCATGTAACTAACATTGACGTGGATAAAAATTTAATTTTACCCTTTTTCCCAAAAGCAAAGAAAATTCAATTATAAATGAAATTTTTGTAATAGATAACATTCCACGTCAAGATTATATCACAAAAGAAGGGTGTAAATTACAATTTATTTAAGGAATCAATCTGATAAATATTTTTTAATTATCAATTGATTTCTTTAAAATTTATAAATGTTTAAAATAAATAAAACATCTTTGAAAACTTAGAAAATAAATTATACAAAAATATATTTTTCAATATTGATATTGAATTTCAAAATCAAAACTAGATAGAGATTATGATCGATCATCTGATTTATCTGATGATTACAACTGCTAATTCATTTTTTGTTCTTTATTCGGTATCTGGTTCCACGTTAAAATTGATATCTATGACTTAATTTAATAAATAACCATACCATGCCTTAATTTTACAAAAATGATTACTTTTTAATTATGTTTTTAAAATCTAGATTGCAATGTAATATTTTTTTTAAAAAAAATAAAATTTAATTTAAAAAATAGTATATTCTGAAATTTTCTTATATTTTTATAAGTTGTTTTGTTTATTTGTTTACCTAAATTTAATAATTCATCACATTTTGAGATTTTATTTCTTATTTTAAATAATTTTAGGGCCTATCTGGCACCATTAATTTTTTGTGTATTTTTAATATTAATTTAATATTATTAAATAACCAATATCTCCCCCGACTCTCTCTCTCCCATTATATTTAAAATTTTTTTTTGTATATTTTTTTCAAAAATATTTTGCTAAATTCTATAATGTCTTTTTCAAATTCAAATTCTCAAGAACTAAAATAATTTTTTTATAAATAAATTAAGGAACCAAATAAATTATAAAATAAAAATACCTTATCTAGATACTTGGAGGTAGAGAAGAATAGTCTTATAATTAGTTCTCAACAGGAGGAGAATGATGTAATATTTTTATTATATATATAATTTATATTAGTATACCCATTAGAGTTGTTATTACAATGTAGAAGAAAATAGACATGAAATCATAAGCAATGAAGAAATCAATATTCGCGAGTTTGACACATATTCAGATGTAAAATATTTCGATAGTTTAAAATTTTAAAAATATATAATTTAATATAATTTTTTTTGTAGTGTTGTTTATAAGTTACTTTGATTAATAACTAGTTACAGTTATTAGTTACATGGGTAAAAATATAATTATTTATAGTTACTAATTAAATTTTTACAAATGTAATTAGTTAGTTATATTTCAAAAACTAGTTACATAATAAGTTACTTTATACATCATTCATAAACGCATTATTTACTGAAAGCATATATTTAACATAAAAATTAGGATATAATAATTATAATCAATTATTTGAAAAAATATATAATTTATTTATATAAAGATAATTAAACCGAAAAAAATATCGGAAAATAGAATATTTTAGGCTCGACCCTAAATCTCCGGGTACACAGGCTAGAAAGTATTTTAATTTTTTAAAAAAAATTTGGTTACAAAATTATGAAACCCAGCAATGTAACTAATTTTTATTAGTATTATTTTTATAAATATTACTGTTATTTCTTTTATAAGCTCAAAATTATAGATAATATTCTCAAAATATTACCGTTTTAGTAATGTTGTTTAACCACCCGATTTGAGCTGATTTAAAAAAAAGGCTAACTCTAAATTTTAGGCTAGTAAATTTTCAAATTATATAATGAACATCACCAGTAACAACATTCTTTTACAACTCACACAATTTACCAACACAACTCTAAAACTAATAAATTTTCAACTCCAAATTTTTATTGAGTAACAAAAAAAATAAAAAAGGATAAAACTAAAATAATATAATGATCATAATTTGCCTAAA